GCAGAAGGAGAAGGGGACAACAGAGGATGAAATAGTCAGATGGCATCACCAACTCAATGGACATGAGTTTGAACAAGCTCTGGGAGTTGGTGATGGATAGGGAAGCCTGGCGTGCTGCAGTCCATGGGGTCGCAAAGAGTCGGACACGACTGAGCAACTGAACTGAACTGAACTGAACTGTGTGCTGGGTCCCACGTTTGGTTCTGAGTCAGTCATTTACAGTTGATGCTCTCAGTTTCTTCAAATGGCTTGGTTGACAGTCTTCAGACTTGCAGGGGCGCCCAGGTCAGAAGTTTGCCACCTTTTAACAAGGTCGTTCATTTCCTCTCAGGTGCCTTGGCAAACATCCTGGGGCCTGGCTGACCCCTGAGGCCGCCTGCCTGCTGGAGGCTCCCCCAGAGGAACTTCAGGAATGACCCAGGATGTTATTTTTAAATGCCCTGAATTCGACTCAGTTGTTAGGTTCAGATATAAGAAGTGTGAGGCCCTACAGGAATCCTTTCTCCCCGGACAGGCTGGGGCACTGATGAGGATGCACCAGGTGCATAAAAACAGGATGAGAAGCAAAAACGCCAAGAGAAGCCCAGGAAGTCAAAGACCTCCAGGGCTTGAGACCTTCAACAGGTCACTCCCCACCCCCCACACACGCTTTCTCCAATGTCCACATATCTAACCCACAGGAAGCCTTCCAAGACTTATGGCTAAAGAGCTGCTGAGCATATGTATTGTTTTAATCTCATCACGTAAGATTTTCCTCTCCCTGCTCTTTCCAGACTGAAGGGGCGAATCTGGACGTGACCTTCCCGGAAGGGCTGAGATGGGTGTGAGCCTCTGACAGGGACGCTTTGCGGCTTTCCTCACTGGAGGCACAGAGGAAGCAACGTGTGAACAGCAGGATTCGGTGTGCTAACACTCACGCACGTGCACACACCCTGGAAGCCCCAGAGCCTCGCAGAACGAGGGGCTTCAGGAGCAGACTCAAGTCAGGAGGAGCAGAGGGGCTCCGGACCGAAGCGCAGAGGGGCTCCGGACCGAAGCACAGAGGGGCCACGGGCGGAGGGAAGGGGTCTGAGGAGGAGCCGGCGCGCCCGGTGAGCCTCGCCCTGTCCCGGGCAGAGTGAGGACAGGAGACCCAGCAGGGCGGGCGGCCGGGGCAGCTGAAGAAACAAGGGCACCCGGGTCCCTTCAGAAGAACAGCGTCACAGTGCTCACTCCCCAGAGCCGAAGGAGGTGACAGTCCCCCCACCACCTGCCCAAGGCTGGAACAGACCTTTGTTGGCAAAGTAATGTCTCTGGTTTTTAATATGCTGTCTAGGTTGGTCATAACTTTTCTTCCAAGGAGCAAGCGTGTTTTAATTTCATGGCTGCAGTCACCATCTGCAGTGATTTTGGAGCCCAGAAAAATAAAGTCAGCCACTGTTTCCACTTATTTCTTCATCCCCTTATAAAACCCTAGACACGGGGCAGGGGTGCTACGCGCTGTGGGCGCACACCTGCAAACCGAAACTCTGCAGCAGCTCCCCCACGGCCCTGCAGCGCCAGCTGGGGGCGCTCTGCTCGCTCTGAGCCCCGGATGAGAGACTGCGTCCCTGCATCGAACCTCGAGGCCAGACCCCCGGCAACATCAGCGACCAGATTACCCTCCAGCATCAGGGTCTTTGAAAATCTTTCCTTTTCTTCTCTCCTCGGGCTGTAGAGGCTTGTGCTTAAAGTCTCAGAAATCATGACTTTTCTCTGTAAATAAGATGGGAGGGAATTTCTGACCAGAGAACGCTGCCTGTCCACAGGGGTTGGGGAAACTGGGAGACTGGCCTGAGGGTTTCCAGGGGCTCCCTCCACTGAACCCAGAAACCTTTTCTCCTCAGGGTTCCCTGCACTTCTGCAGACTTTCAACCAGGCTGCTCCTTTGGAGTTGAGGATTATCTCTGCTCAAAAGAATATGGGGGCTGCCCTGGTGGCTCAGTAGTAAAGAATCTGCCTGCCAGTGTAGGAGACACAGGTTTGATCCCTGATCCAGGAAGATTCAACGTACCGCAGAGCAACTAAGCCCGTGTCCCACGACTACTGAGCCGGTGCTGGAGGAGCCACAAGTACTGAGCCCTCAGGCAGCAGCTGCTGAGGTCTGCACGTCCCGGAGCCCGCACTCTGCAGCAGAGAAGCCGCCACAGTGAGAAGCCCGGGCACCGCAGCCAGAGAGGAGCCCCACCTCAGCACCGAGGGAAGAGCCTGTGCGGCACCGAAGGCCCGGCACAGCCAGAAACAAATAAACACACAAATACAGAAAAACTTTTAAGAAAGGAATGTCAACCTCCCTTCCCATGTGGTTCCTGCAATCCAGGTACCATTAGGTCACTTTTCAGGACTTTTCTGTTCCTTTCATCTGGAAGGCGACAGAGGAGGTACAGTATCTGGGGGTTCCCAGGATCTGTGACTTCTTTTTCCTCCTCTCCGATTGCTCTGGGGTCTGCTGAGTTCAAGCCACAAACCCACAGACACTGGGCGTCTTAAGCATTCACTGTGGTATGAAAAAAAAAACTAAAATTTTTTTTTTTAATTTCTGGGGGGGGAAAATGTTTGGAGTAGTTGTATGCTCTTAAACTAGATTTCAGTGTTGCCAATCCTTCCATCCTCTGCCCTGGTCTTTCTCATGCCCTTCAGCGCCTCTCCGAGCACTGGAACAGAACGTTCAGTGGCCACACCAGGCAGCAGGTTGTTAGCGTGCCCACCACCCACGACAGGCCAGGGTCCCCTTCCTTCCCTTCATGACCCTGATAAGAACTGCCACAAACCCACCTGTGTTCCAGGGACAACAGGATGCCGCCCCAGGTCATTTCATTGTCTTTCCTCAATATTCCTCAGCCTCCACATGGATAAAATAAGGTTAATCCAGAAAAATCTCTAACAGCCCTTGCATGCTTCTGCTCCGTCACGTCCAACTCTGGGGACTGCGGTCCACCAGGCTCCTCTGTCTCTCCACGCAAGAATACTGGAGCGGGTTGCCATGCCCTCAACCAGATTGAACCCACGTCTCCTGCACTGCAGGTGTAGACTCCTTACCCCTTTCAACTCTATAATCCCATGATCTTAAAACTTATCCCCCATCCTCAGCTCAGCTGGATGTCCTGACACCTTCATGTGCTTCCAAGTACTTCTCTAGTGAGTTCAGTCTGGGCAGTTTGGAGATTTGTATGATAAATAAACCATCCTGTATGCAGACAGGAAGCCCCAATCACAGATCACTGAATGTCAAGGACTGAAGGCAACACTGTCTGTCGAAAAAGAACTCGCAAACCTTTTTAACTGGACAGGCAGGATGGGCCAATTCCTTTTGCACCTTTTTAATAGCTCACACACTTCTTTTTCTCTCGGATTAAAAGAAAAAACCAACTCATAGCTTAACTTTTGAGCATATTAAAATGTGAGTCAAGTCAACACACACAAAGACGAGGTAGAGCAGAGCTCAGTGGGTCAGATGGCCAGTGCGCCTGTTGTTACATTCCCGTGGCAAAGAGCCCTCCGCTGACGCTCTGCACCTGGCTCCTGGCTCGGAGCAGGTGGCCTGTGATCAGCCAAAATGGAACAAAATTCTGAGCATAATTCACAGGCAACCCCAGCAACAGACGAGGCTTTCTCAGGTATTAGAGTCTGTCCTGGGCAAGCCTGTGCATGTTACCATCTGTGTGGAATACTGGGGCCAACAGAGGACTCGGAACCGAATCACAGACGGGATCAGAGGTGGCCGACAGCCTCTCTGTTAGTAGCTCAGCCATGTCTGATTCTTTGCGAGTCTATAGACTATAGCCCACCTGGCTCCTCTGTCCATGGAATTCTCCAAGCAAGAACACCAGAGTGGGTTGCCATGCCCTTCTCCAGGGGATCTTCCCAACCCAGGGACTGAACCCGGCAGATTCTTTACTCTCTGAGCCACCAGGGAAGCTCTTTTAGGGAACCATGAACCCGGCCTCTCACTCTCTTGGTCCCCACCCAGCCTTCCTCTTTTATCCCGTCTATGGGATGGTCATCCTCAGAGTTCTCTCCTGGCCTCTATCTTCTCTTCTTCTCCCTCTATAGTCTCTCTCCAGCAAAATAACCCACTTCTAACACTTGAAACAAACAAACAACAACAAAAAAAAAACAGAACAATTGGAGCAAGTGCTTGGAGCACAAGATTTAAGCGACAGTGGCCACAGAGGTCTGGCACGTGCCATCCAGATATGTCCACTGCCCCCGCCTCCCCGCAATTCCTTTTTCCGTCACAGGTATGACTTTGCCTGTCACAGCTCAGATTCTGCTCCACACGATGTGTTTTTAGCACTGGGTAATTCCCCTGCCTCCAAACTCACCCTCTCCTCCGCTGATCCTGCTTTTCAGTGAACAAGGGAGGCCACGGCCAGAGCAAGGGCCCACGCCCACGAGTTTACAGATGTTCATAGCCGGGCAGCTTCAGGGGTCATCTGTCCAGTGAAATGGATGTTGGATTATTCAAGCCAACAGGAGCATCTATAGCACCTGATGAAAAGGCAGCAAGAAGCCCATGAAGCCAAGAAGGAACCGCCTACGATGTCGGCCAAGAGCAGTGAGAGCCCAGCCGGTTCACCAACCGTCAGGAGCAAATGAAGGGCGGCTCATGTTCAGTAAAGTTCATTTTCCAAAAAGACCTGCACTATGTTTATGAAAGCCACGGCGATAAATTTGCTGGATTTAGCCCACTTGGCCGCCCAGAGCCGAACAGAACAAACAAGATAATAGGAACTTCTCCTCCGAGCCCCGGGTAGTCCTGCCAGGGCTCACAGGACTACAGGTCTGTTCACTAGTGAAGCCCAAAGTCACACAGAATGAACTGGTTAGTCTTACCATTGACAGTGTGTGCCCAAACAACAGAAGTGCAGGCATTAAAAATACTCAGCTCCGAGACACTCGTCCACAGAAAATAACAGTTTTAAAAACACTCAGTTCAGAAACATCCATCAAAATAAAATAATAGTCTCCAGGCTACTTACATCTGTGTCGGGTCCTTTATCTGCCCCCGGACAAGAAAAAGTAACAAACTCATGGCACCTCTTGTGAACCACAAAACAGCAAACTGGTGGAGAGAAAAGAAAACTGAAATTAGAAGAGTGGATTGAATATACAAGGCTTTGTCCTCCAAACAGGGCTACCTGCTATCAGCAGTCAAATTAATTTCACTACAGACAGAATCTCATAAACAGCAATCAGACAGCATTTCACTGGAGGCTTGGCTTCATTTGGTATTGCTTGGATTCCCGGATAACAGAACCACAGAATGCCCGCACGGACACGGCACAGGAGACCTAAAGCTTGTCTCCTCTAAAGCTGAGGAGAGAGGACAGGGGTGGTAAGACCCTTCTCCTGAGGTATAAACTAGGAAGCTACAGGTAAAGCACTCTGCACTCCTCTCCCCGACACACTCAGATGTGTAAACGTGGATAAACATTAGACCCTGTGAGTAAGATATAAGGAGAGTAACTTATTACAAATAATACGTGGGTATCACCAAGAACTTCCTTAGCAGAATTCTGAAGTTCAAGAACTCCTTAAGACACAAACCAGATCTAGGGAAAACAGCCCTTTGAAGTGGAGAAAAGTTGGAAAGCATCCTCTCTCTTGAATCTACCAGCTTGGGGGGGGGGGGGGTGTCACCCACAGATACTCCAAACCACTACGCAGCAAGCGTTTTCCAAGCAACAGGGTTTTCATAAGTCTTCCTGAAGATGAATCAATAAAAAAATCATGAGTTATAGAAACCAGTAAGTCAGATTTTTATGAAAAGTGTAACATGGAGGACACACAAAAGATATAAATAAATGTCCTAGGCCATCCTCCCTCTAAAAGTGCAGCACCAGCTCCAGAGCGCACAGCCTACGGCTCTCCTGTTTTCTGCTGAACAATAAGCTGGGCTTCCCCGGTGGCTCAGACGGTAGAGACCCCGCCTGCAGTGCAGGAGACCTGGGTTCCAACCCTGGGTCGGGAAGATCCCCTGGAGGAGGGAATGGCAACCCACTCCAGTATTTGTTTGTCTGTTTGTTTGTTTGTTTTGAGGCTAATTACTTTACAATATTGTAGTGGTTTTTGCCATACATTGACATGGATCAGCCATGGGAGTACATGTGTCCCCCATCCTGAACGCCCCTCCCACCTCCCTCTCCATCCCATCCCTCTGGGTCATCCCAGTGCACTAGCTTTGAGTGCCCTGTCTCATGCATCCAACCTGGACTGGTGATCTGTTTCACATATGGTAATACAGATGTTTCAATGCTATTCTGTCAAACCATCCCACCCTCACCTTCTCCCACAGAGTCCAAAAGTCTGTTCTTTACATCTGTCTCTTTTGCTGTCTCACATATAGGGTCATCATTACCATCTTTTTAAATTTCACATATATGCGTTAGTATACTGTATTGGTGTTTCTTTCTGGCTTACTTCATTCTGTATAATAGTCCGGTTTCATCCACCTCATTAGAACTGATTCAAATGTATTCTTTTTAATACCTGAGTAATATTCCATTGTCTGTATGTACCACAGCTTTCTTATCCATTCGTCTGCTGATGGGCATCTGGGTTGCTTCCATGTCCTGGCTATTGTAAACAGTGCTGTGATGAACATGGGGTACACGTGTCTCTTTCAGTTCTGGTTTCCTTGGTGTGTATGCCCAGCAGTGGGATTGCCGGGTCGTACGGCTGTTCTACTTCCAGTTTTGTAAGGAATCTCCACACTGTTCTCCATAGTGGCTGCCACTCCAGTGCTCTTGCCTGGAGAATTCTGTAGACAGAGGAGCCTGGGGGGCTATAGTCCATATGGTCGCAAAGCGTTGGACACGACTGAGCAACTAACACTTTCACTTTCAGCTAAAAAACAACATTCGCTGAGAAATCCTGTGAGTCCTACATGGAAGGCAGGGGAGGCCTCCCCAGACCCTGGCTGTCTTCTTCCGCTGCTGAGGCTGCTTCGCCTCCTGCACACGTGTCAGGAGGCAGAGCCGACTGAAGAGGGCGGGAGAGGCTGGCAGTCTTCCTGAGAGCCGAGACCCCAAGGTCAAGGGGGCATTCAGAGGCCTGGTGGGGACGCTCGGGACGTCTGTGCTCAGCACGAGCAGCCACTGAAGGGTCTGAACCCGAGGGACGAAGCAGGGCTTCTGACGGGCCGACGGTGGCGACGGGAAGGGTTCACTGGGACAGGTCAGGGCCGTAAGGACTGGGCGGGGGTGTTCTAGGTAGTCCAGGATTGAAAGTCATGGCCGTCACTGTTCGGCCTGTAAGAGATGGAAGCGTGAGATGCCATGGACACCGCAGAGGACCTGCCGGCTGAGCACAGACACCGCTTGTCAGCCTCCTGCATGGGCCACTCTGCCAGGTCACGTCACCTGCGTTGATTATCTCACCAAATCCTCACGCTACTTAATATGCTCTGATGTCTGTGTTTTATGGACGGGAAAGCATTGCACTGATCTCTGGTGTCTAGTCTGTATAAGCTCATGACGTTTGCAGACAGGAGACGGGGTGGGAGAGACGAGTGGATGGATCGATGAACAGGGCAGACGGACACAGGTCTTCTGGATAGTCATCCCTCCGAGCAGAGGAGCCAGGAGCCAAACTAAGGTTTGCTGGACCCACGCCCCCCGCCCACCTCACACTGGTGAACAGGAGAGGAAAAGGTGATGAAGGGGATGCCGAGTCTGCACACGATGCCAGGGACATGCGTGCATGGAAAAATAGTTCTAAGTATGTAAAAAGTATATAGAAGTGAATACAGATACATGGGTTGGTCAAAAGGTTCCTTCAGGTGTGTGTGTGTGTGTGTGTGTGTGTGAGACAACCCAGAGGGTGAAGTTGTGGGTGTACTGTCAGGGAAGCAGGGTAAAGGATGACTGCTTTCACCGCGGGCGCCGCTGGGGCGGGACCCCGCGGAGGCGCCCCTGGCCCTCGCCGCCCCAGTGCCGCAGCCTCCCAGGCGTGTCCGCCGCAGCGCCCCATCGCAGGCTCCTGAGGACGGATGGACGGCAGTGCAGATGCTCAGACCAGGCCCATCAGCCACGGTCCCCGACACGGCCTCGGCTCCACTCGCGGATTGAAGACAATCCGCGGTTCACTACGGACACGCTGTGTGGAGCGGACACGGAGCATGCAGAGTCCCTGCTCGGCGCGCCAGCCTTCCTGCGCTTCCTCTGGTCCAGGCGGATCAGGTCCCTGCGGCCAGTTGGTGTCCGAGCCTACCAGTGCGCTCAGCTCTCCAGCGGGAACTGCACAGACTACTCCTGGAATCCCCAGTCCAGTCGTATCCTGGAATCAGCCCCGCACCGAACAATATAATATGAAAGGGAAGCAAAAGCCCCCAGATCATTTCCTCCCCAACTGCCACGTAGTGACTGGACTCCCCCGGCAGGAGGGGAGAGGAGGTCCAGAGAGCTGCTCCCCCTGAGTTAGCCAGGTGGGTTCAAGGACTCAGATCAAGATGAGATAAAGAAACGGAACCTGCGGCTCCGCCCTCGCCCCGCTCCTGCGGGGCGGGGGGCTGATTAGGGAGAGGGAGCAGGGAGACCCTCTGCATTGAAGCCGGCAGAGTTTGTTGGAAAGATAGAAGGTTTCGGAAGTGCTTGCTGGTGACAGTTGTACGATCTTGTGTATATACTCAGTCCACTGAGCCGTGCAAGTGAACATGGTCAAAATCGTCACTTTTCAGTTACATACACTTTGCTGTTGTGTTGCTGAGTCGCTGAGTCATGTCTGACTCTTTGTGACCCCATGGACTGCAGCATGCCAGGCTCATGTAGCATGCCAGGCTCACGACAATATAATTTAAGTTATGCATCAACCTGGAGTGAGATTTATGAAGTTATAAATAAGGTACACAGACATGAAAGTCTTGCTTATGTAGATTTACGGCTTTTTTTGTTCCCAGTGGACCTGGCTGCAAAACCAAGGAAGTATTTACTTCCATTTCATTAGGTTCTACATAAAGTCCACGCCAGATTAGAGGGGAGATGTGGGGAAAATTGAGTTTTCAGAGCCAAGGACTCACACGATCTCAGAGGATTAGAAATGGGCTCCTCCGACCTTCACATCTCTGTGCAGAGTCAGCATCAGCAGCAGCGATGGAAACCAGGGCCTCACACTCAGAGCCTGGCTCTCCACGCAACCCCCGGGACCGTCTGTTACCTCTTTACATGCAAAACAGGGTCATCCTGCTTACACATCACGTGGATCACAGGCTTGTTGAGGGGAGAAAATACATACTTAGGTATCACCTTCCATTTTGTTTAAACAATAATTTCCTTTCACCCTCAAGTCTTAAGTCCATATCATTTCAAATTCAGCTCATAGTGACATAAAATGGAACATGTGCATAAAAGTCCCGTTGTCCAAAATTAATGGGGTAAAAGCCATTATGTAACAAACCTGCAATTCAAAAAAGGAGCCTACTAAATTTAATAGTTTGACTTCATTTAGAGCGGAAGACAGGCAGCCAAGCTTCTGAGCGCTCCTTTTTTAAATACATAAATGGCTGCCATCATGTGAGATGGTTTTAATTAAATCTAGCTTAGCTGGAAGGGATTAATGAAAGGTAACGTCACATCAGAACACAGTGAAAGGAAAACCTCTAAGGCGAGCGAACTGCTTTCAGCTTTGCGGGGAAAGTAACGAAAAACTGAGCCTATATTCTATTCGCATGTTAAAAGAAAATTATTGGTTTCAGGTTTGTAACAATGAAAACGGTCTTCTTGTGTGATGCATGTTAAAGTTGTATGAAAACAAGCCAAATCAATGTGCTTTATCACACAGTGTGATATGCCATTCTGCAGCCAGCATGCTGATTCTGCCCTAAGCCTTTGTGCACATTCTCCCGAGTAAACCCTGTCAAAACCCCCAATATTCAATGTTTCCTCCTTTCCCCAGAGGAATCGCCTTTAACCTCCTCCTCAACTTTCTATCAACAAGTCCCACAGACGCTTCCTCCTTTGTGTCACTCCCTGCTTGGAGCTGAGATGTGTTTCACCAGGTGTGAAGGGCAGAGACCAGAGGTGGCCCTCATGTTCCTGGCCAGGGAATCTAGGCCAACGGTGTGGC